GTTTTTAAATGATAGGGTGTGACAAAAGTGTCATTCACAACTGAGTAGTGTCATCTCAGGAATCCAAGGACGGTGAAACATTTGACAATGTGGCTTCCCTGTGGCACAGCAGTAAAGAATCTGCCTGTAATGCAGGAGATCTGAGTTTGATCCCTGGGTGGGAAAGATCCCTGGAGAAGGAAATGTAAGCCCAAATGTAATACTCCAGTATTCTAGGAAATCCCATGGACAGAGGAATCTGGAGGGCTACAGTCCATGGATTGCAAAGAATTGGACACGACTGACTGACTAAACAACAACAATATTATAATTTACTACATTAATGGGAGAACAGAGAAAAATTATGTGATCATCTTAATAAATAGCAAAGAAAAGTATTTGATATTCACCATTCATTTAAAACTTAAGACAAAAATTCTTGACAAACCAAAAATAGAACTTTTTAAACTCTATAAATTGTACCTACCAGAAAATTACTGTAAATATTAAACCTGAAGGTGAAACCTTAGAAACAGACAGAAGAATGAAGTATACTTACACGAACTAACAAGGTGAGACTCTAACATATATTTTCAATAAATAAAAGAAACTGAATATACAAAATATAAGAAACTCTAAAGACTCCACCAAAAAACTGTTAAACTAACAAATTCAGAAAACTTGTGGGGAACAATTTCAACATGCAAAAATCTGTTGCATCTCTATACACTAATAAAGAACTAGGAGAAAGACAAAAAACAACCACATTTACAAATGCATGAGAAAAAAAAAATACTTAGGAATAAATTTAACCAAGGAGGCGAAAGACCTAGACAATGAAAACTACAAGACATTAAAGAAATAAACCGAAGAAAACACAAATAGATGGAAAGATATTTCATGTTCATGGATTAGAAGTATTAATATTGTTAAAATGCCCATATCACCCAAAGCAATCTACAGATTCATGGCAATCCCTATCAATGCAATCAACTTCCCAATGTCATTTTTCACAGAAACAGAACAATTCTTAAACTTGTACAGAACCACAAAAAATCCCAAATGACCAAAGCAGCATTGAAAAACAACAAAGCAAGATGCAGCACGCTGCCTGCTATCAAATATTACAAAGTTATAGTAATTAAAACAGAATGACATTGGCATAAAAAGACACACAGATCAACAGAACATAATAGCCCAGAAATAAAGCCATGCACATAAACAAATTTACAACAATAAATTTACAAGAAAGGAGAGAATAATACACAATAGAGAAAGTATAATCTATAAACAATGTTGGGAAAACTAGACAGCCACATGAAAAAGAATGAAACTAGAATACCAATTTACAGTATACACAAAAATTAACTCAAAATAGATTAAAGACTTGAGTATAAGACCTGAAATCATAAAACTCCTCAAAGGAAACACAGGCAGTAAGCTCATTCTTACCAATGATTTTTTGGATTTGACATCAAAAGAAAAGGCAACAAAAGCAAAAATAAAAAATAAGTGCAACTACATCAAACTAAAAAGTTTCTGTACAGCAAAGAAAACCATCAGCAAAATGAAAAGGCAAGCTTCTGAGTGGGAAAAAAGATCTGCCACCCACAAATCTGATAAGGGGGTACTGTCCAAAATACATAAAGTGAAGTGAAAGTCGCTCAGTCATGTCCCACTCTTTGTGATCCCGTGGTCTCTATAGTCCATGGAATTCTCCAACTCATACAAATCAAAGCAGAAAAACAATCTGAATTTTAAAATGGGATAAAGATCTGAACAATTTTCCAAAGAAGTTATCTAAATAGCTAACAGGTACATGCAAAGATGCTAACATCACTAAATAATCAGGGAAATACAAATCAAAACCACAATGAGATGTCCTTGCACCTGTCAGAATGGCTATTATAAAAAAAGACAACCAAAAACAAGTGTTGGTGAGGATGTAGAGAAAGGCAAACCCTTGTGCACAGTTTGTGAGAATGTAAATCCAGGCAGTCACTATGGAAAACCGTCTGGCTGTTCCTCAAAAAATTAAAATTAGAACTACCATATGATCCAACAATTCCACTTCTGGTTGTTTCCAAAAGAAACCAAATCACAATCTCCAAAAGTTATCTGCACCACATTCACTGCAGCATTATTACTGAAACAACGTGCCCACCAATAGATGAATGGATAAAGAAGATGCGGTAAATACACACACACACACCACGACTACTGCTCAGCCGTAAGAGCTTTGCTGAAGCTAGCGGAGATGATGGAATTCCAGTCGAGCTATTTCAAATCCTGAAAGATGACACTGTGAAAGTGCTGCACTCAATATGCCAACAAATTTGAAAAACTCAGCAGTGGTCACAGGACTGGAAAAGGTCAGTTTTCATTCCAATCCTAAAGAAAGGCAATGCCAAAGAATGCTCAAACTAAAACACAACTGCACTCATCTCACACACTAGTAAAGTAATGCTCAAAATTCTTCAAGCCAGGCTTCAGCAATACATGAACCATGAACTTCCAGATGTTCAAGCTGGTTTTAGAAAAGGCAGAGGAACCAGAGATCAAATTGCCAACATCTGAGGGATCATCAAAAAAGCAAGAGTTCCAGAAAAACATCTATTTCTGCTTTATTGACTATGCCAAAGCCTTTGACTGTGTGGACCACAACAAACTGTGCAAAATTCTGAAAGAGATGGGAATACCAGACCACCTGACCTGACTCTTGAGAAACCTGTATTCAGGTCAGGAAGCAACAGTTCAAACTGGACACGGAACAACAGACTGGTTCCAAATAGGAAAAGGAGTACGTCAAGGCTGTATATTGTCACCCTGCTTATTTAACTTATATGCAGAGTACATCAAGAGAAACACTGGGCTGGAGGAAGCACAAGCTGGAATAAAGATTACCGGGAGAAATACCAATAACCTCAGATATGCAGATGACACCACCCTTATGGCAGAAAGTGAAGAAGAACTAAAGAGCTTTTTGATGAAAGTGAAAGAGGAGAGTGAAGAAGTTGGCCTAAAGTTCAACATTCAGAAAACTAAGATCATGGCATCTGGTCCCATCACTTTATGGCAAATAGATGCGGAAACAGTGGCTGACTTTTTCTGGGCTGCAAAATCACTGCAGATGGTAACTGCAGCCATGAAATTAAAAGACGCTTACTCCTTGGAAGGGAATTTAAGACCAACCTAGACAGCATATTAAAAAGCAGACACATTACTTTGCCAAAAAAGGTCCATCTAGTCAAAGCTATGGTTTTTCCAGTAGTCATATATGGATGTGAGAATTGGACTATAAAGAGAGCTGAACACCGAAGAATTGATGCTTTTGAACTGTGGTGTTGGAGAAGACTCTTGAGAGTCCCTTGGACTGCAAGGAGATCTAACCAGTCCATCCTAAAGGAGATCAGTCCTGGGTGTTCATTGGAAGGACTGATGTTGAAGCTGAAACTCCAAGACTTTGGCCACCTGATGTGAAGAGCTGACTCATTTGAAAAGACCCTGATGCTGGGAAAGATTGAAGGCAGGAGGAGAAGGGGACGACAGAGGATGAGATGGTTGGATGGCATCACTGACACAATGGACATGGGTTTGGGTGGACTCCAGGAGTTGGTGATGGACAGGGAGGCCTAGCGTGCTGCGGTTCATGGGGTGCAAAGAGTTGGACACGACTAAGTGACTGAACTGAACTGAACAGCCATAAAAGAAACAGGAAACTTTGCCATTTGCAACAACCGGATGAACCCTAAAGGCATTAAGTGAAATAAAACAGAGACAAATAGCATATAATCTAACCTATATGTGGAAACAAAAATAAAAAAGAACTGAAAAAAAAAAAAAACCACAAGCTCATAGAAACAGAACAGACTGGTGATTGTCGGGTGGATGAAATGCATGAAGTGGGTGAAAAGGTACAAACTTTCTTTTATAAAATAGTAAGTCATGGGGATGTAATGTACAACATGGAGATGACAGTTAATAAAACTGTAATGCACATTTCAAAGTCACTAAGAGTACATCCTCAAAGTTCTCATGACAGGAAAAAAATTTTCTATATATGGTGACAGATGTTAACTACATTATGGTAGTGATATATATAACTATCACATCATTATGTTGCATACTTGAAACTAATATAATGTTGTATGTCAACTGTAATTCAAAAAAGTAAATAAATAAATAAGGTCTGGGTAAAATGGTCCTTGGTACTAGGTGTACACCTAGATGATTACACGTATGATAAAATATTTTAAAGCACTGGAAATATATACAAAAACTGCTTTTTTGCTTTTAAAGGTTAAGCATATCACTATGGGTAAGAAGTCAACTAGTTCTTTTCGGTTCCTTTTAAGTCTGGAGACCTTGAAGGTACTCTCTGAATGCCATTTGTTACACATCCTGGAACTTAATTGTCTCCACTTAGCAAATCAGGTTAACTCTGGGGGATGTCGATTTCCAAACACAACACCTGACAGCAGAGCCTCTGGAGTTTGCCAATTATCCTATTCTAATAGGGTGAGACAGATATTTTGACATATTTTTTTCTTTGTATTCCTATTTGGAACAGAACAAATTAGTCCTAAAGCTACTTGATTCCCTGAATTTCCACTAGATCTGACTAGTTCGATTTAGACTTTGAGGTTGGGATACATCCTCACTCTCAGGCAAAGAACAGGAAAGCAGACTTTCCATCCGGAGGAAATGGCAATTGTCTATTTCTTAATGAACATCTGATGTGAAGATGACTGAGTGAGTCTCGTGTGTGCAAATACACGAGCGAATGGAGAAAGGAGAAGGAAATAAGGGGCCCTCCTCTACGAACCTCTGTTTCAGCGAGCTGGCATCAACAGAGCGGAGGCACGGAGAAGCGGCAACTGGAGCCAAGGGGTACCAGGACAGCCAAGCGGAGCGAACAGGGGGCGGGACGGCGCGGCCTCCGCTCCTCCTCGGTCGGGGCGGGCCCGAGACCGCGACCCACCTCTCCCGCGCCGTCCTCGTCAAGGCGCCACGGTACAGCCATGCCGGGCCGCCTGATGCGGAGCCTCTGGCAGCGATGGCGCCGTTACAGGTACCGCTTCGTACCCTGGATCGCGCTGAACCTAAGCCACAACCCGAGGTGAGAGGGCGACGCGGCTCGATCCAGCCCGTTTTCCTACCTCCCAGCGCCGCCATCGCGGCCGCGGCCACTTACGCTAGCGGACCGAGGTGGGCGGAGCCTTAGGCGAGTGGAGCCTCAAGCAGGCGGAGCCTAAGACGGCCTACGGGCCTGAGGCGGGCGGGACCTGAGTGGGCGGGGCTCGAAGTGGGCAAGGCCCCAGGTGGGCGAGGCGGAGGCTGGCTAAGTCAGAGGCCGGCTGGGGGCCTGAAGACAGCGCGGGGCTCTTAGGTGGGCGGGGCCTAAGGCGCATTTCCCATCGTTCCCGGCGCTGCGAGGTCTCCCAGACCGTGTTGCCCGCGGGCGCTGGCTGGAGTTTTAAGTCTTAATGTCTGCAGAGGTTGGGTGCTTGTGTTTGGGCAAAAAAATAGGAACTTTTGAAAAGGGGAAATAACTTGTACGGCGTGACGGTGCGTGGCCTTCTCTCTATCCAGGCATAGTTAGGAGCTTGAAGTGCCTTAGAAAAGCCAAACCGTCGTTTATTTTTACAGCTCTGTAGTTTGTACGGAGAAAACAACCCAGCTCGGCTGTGAGGGTAACAGCTTGGAGTAGTTGACGTACAAAAACGAACAAGAAGCCACCAAAAGCACGTCGGAGTATTGGGTTTAGAATACGGATTCAGTTCCTAAAGATGGCCATCTAGCTGAGTGGATGGCCGTAGGATCAGTGTTAATACTGGCTTTAGTAAATAGCCTTCTTGGAAGAAGTCAACGCGATGCTCACTTAAATAGGCAGACTAGCTCGGTTGAAGGCTGGTTAATAGCCAAAGAGCTCTCCCAGAGTTTCGTACTACAGAAATGTAAATTCAGGTGCATCATTACTACTATCAAACTGTGAGGCGAAAATGGGTTCCTTGTAAGTAAAACAAAAAGTAGAATAATACTTAAAAAGTGATCCTTAAAGTACTCCTGAGAGAGACTGACGACATATATATTGTTAAATGTGTCTTTGAAGCTACACGCGTGTGAAAAGAGCCATTGCAATTTGAGGACGTAGTGGCTTTAGGTGTACTGGGAACCAACCCATTTTCTGCTTCTGGTTCTGCTGTTTACCAGCTTTAGGACAGTTGGGCAAGTTCCCTAACATCTCTAAGCTTGAGTTTCCTTGTCTGCAAAAATGGGATAATGAAAGTAAGGACCCAACAGAATTTGGTATGGAATGGGCCTTTTGTAAGTATTAGCTGTTGTTGATTTGTTTAAGTATTGTTGGGAGTCAGGTAACTAGAACTGAACCCCCAAAACTCTTTTCTGAACTTCTTTTATGCGCTTCAAACACATGAGAATTATCTTCATAAAGGCCAGTAACCCTGAGAACATCAAGACAGTCTGGCTTTTATCAGTTGAAGGGTAGTGAATAGAAACTTTTCCCATTTTCAGGACCCTCCGATATGTTCCAGAAGAATCCAAAGACAAAGTTATCTCAGATGAAGATGTCCTAGGAACATTACTGAAAGTTTTCCAGGCTCTATTCGTAAATGATTTCAGTAAACAATCAGATATCTTGACTGTGCTTCCAGAACCTGTTAAATCAAAATATCAAGACCTACTGTCAGTTCAGCATCCAAGGGTGAAACAGCTTGAATACAGACATCAGCAGCAAAATACCTTTACGTCAGAAGAAATTCTTTATAAGACATTGGGTTTCAGTGTTGCCCGAGCACCTAGCTCATTGATTTCTGCTGGAAAAGGTGTCTTCGTTACTAAAGGATTGGTACAGAAAGGCGCGGTTGTATCTATGTATCCCGGTAATGACATAATTAGTACTTGACCAAGAGTTTCTTATATACAGATAAATATAAGTTCAACAGAATACCTAACCCTATAAGCCTTACAGTAAGGGGTTGTATTGGAAATGATTTCCACAGATTTTTTTTTAATTGGCAGATAATTGCTTTACAGTGTTCTGTTGGTGTCTGCCATTCAACAACCTGAATCAGCCATAGGTATACATATGTCCCCTCGCTCTTGAGTCTTCTTCCACCACCCACACCCCACCCTCTAGGTTATCACAGAGTACCAGGTTGAGCTCCCTCTGTTAAACAGCTCTCTATTTTATGTCTGGTAATATATATGTTTCAATGCTATTCTCTCAGTTTCTCCCACCCTCTCCTTCCCCATATCCACAAATCCATTCTTTATGTCTGCATCTGTATTCCTTCCCTGCAAATATGATTTCCATGGACTTTTAAATCTTGAGTTGGAAATTAACTGTTTGTAAATTATCTCATGTATTAGAAAGTATCCAGGAGCATTTTGGGATAAATGCATTTTTCTTTTAAGGAAATTTTCCTAATCAATATTTAAATTTAGGCGAGTTATAGTATGGCCTGCTTTGATAAGACTGATTACTTAGAAATTACTAGAGAGTAAGTCAGTTTGTCTTAGATAATAATTAAAGGTAAAAAATGATATGGATTAAAACATAAAGATTAAATTTAAATCTATAAATCACTGAGTAAAGATCTTCCTGCCATTTCTAAACTTGATAAGTAAAGCAGTTTCTTTGCAAAAGATCATTAACTGGAATGCTCAGTAGAATATGTTATTTGTCAAACCTGTTATTTGGTGCAGTAGAAAGTATGTGTGAATGTTTGTCAGACATACCTGTTTTTTAAGTAGTCATTCTACTATCTTCTAATTCTATGTCCTTAAACAGGGGCATCTCAGTTTCCTCCTTCACAACTGTCCTAACTCCGTAAAGACTAAACAGAGCAAGCCAGCAACAAACAAATAAATACTAAAATAAACTTAATAAATAAATTAACAGGGCTTCCCTGGTGACTCAGACAGTAAAGTGTCTGTCTGCAATGCAGGAGACCCAGGTTTGATCCCTGGGTTGGGAAGATCCCCTGAAGAAGGAAATGGCAGCCCACTTAAGTACTCTTGCCTGGAAAAATCCCATAGAAGGAGGAGCCTGGTAGGCTACAGTCCATGGGGTGGCAAAGAATTGGACACGACTGAGCAACTTCACTTTCAAAATGCCTGTGGCATAGGAAGCACCCTGTAAATATTTGCTCCTTTCCTCCATTGCCGATGAAAGGAAAAACAACCTGAATGCCAGCCTCATCTATTCCTGTACATATCTACACTAATTGATTAATAACAAAATACATTTCTTAAAAGTCTCTTTAATAGATGTCAAATAGAACTCTACTTTAAAAAATAAAAACAAAAACACAACCTTGGAACTGAGCCTAAAATGTGGTGTTCACATGTGTGGACAAGTTGGTTCTGTGTTCCTTCTGATATTGGGCACTTTTTAAAGAGGGAAGTAGCCAAAGAGAATGTGATAGTCTAGATTGGAGAAAGGAAACATTAGAAAAAGGTAGAGAAATTAAAGCAAATTCTTCCATGTTATGTTCCAAAGAAAGGTCCTTATCATGATGGTTATGATTTTTATAAGTTGCTATAATATGTTTTTATCTTGTATATTAGGTACAGTATATCAGAAGTACGAGCCAATCTTTTTCCAGTCCATTGGAAATCCGTTTATTTTTAGATGCCTAGATGGGGTACTCATTGATGGAAATGACAAAGGAATATCAAAAGTCGTGTATAGGTAAGTTGGTGCCATGTTCAAATTTAATTGTAGGAGACAGAACCATACCACAATGACTCTGACCACTGGCATTTATACTTTAAGTAAAAATCTATTTAGCAAGCCAGAACAAGATATGGAGGAAACTTAAGGGCATGTTACTCAGTGAAAAGGCTGATTTGGAAAAGGCTGCATAATATATATAAAGTCCAACTATATGATATTCTAGCAAAAGCCAAACTATGGAGACTGTAAAATGATGAGCATGTGCTAAAGTCTGGGGAGGTGAGGAGAGGGCAATAGGTGGAGCATGGAGAATTTTTAGGGCAGTGAAAATATTCTATGATAACCATCATGACGGATAACCTCTCATCATACATGTATCCAAACCCATAAAATGTACACCACCGAGAGTGAGCTATAAGGCAAACTATAGACTCTGAGGTGGTTATGATGTGTCAGTGTCGGTTCATCAGTTGTAGCAAACATACCACTGTGGTTGGGGATGGTGAAAACGGGGGAGGCTGTGCATGTATGGGAATGGGGGGTACCTAAGAAACATCTGTACCTTTTCCTCAGTTTTGCTGTGAACCTTAAACTCTTCTGAAAAAGTCAATTTAGAAAATTGACCAAAAATAAAATCTATTTAATTGCCCAATTGATTAGATAAGTTTTTTTAACACAGACTTCAAGAACGAGCTTATGGTTGCTGGGGGGTGGGTGGGGGGAAGAATAGGGGGAAGGGATAATTAGGGAGTTTGGGATAGACAGGTACACACTGCTATATTTAAAATGGATAGCCAGCACTGTATAGCACATGAAACTCTGCTCAATGTTATGTGGCAGCCTGGATGGGAGGGGAATCTGGGGGAGAATGGGTACATGTATATGTATGACTGAGTCCCTTCTCTGCTAACATGAAACTATGACAACATTGTTTGTTTATCAGCTATACCCTAATACAAAATTAAAAAGTTTAAAATAATAAAAAGTTTTTAAGAAAAATTTCACTGCTCAATTCTAGGGTTAACTGAATTTTAAGATACAGAGGGACAGTCTCTTAGCTAATGCTTCCACATGTTTCAGATCTTGCCATGGGAGGGATCGACTTGGCCCTTTAAAAATGAGTGATAGTACATGGCTAACATCAGAAATTCATAATCCATTGGCTATAGGACAGTATGTGAACAATTGTTCAAATGGTAAGTTGGCACCTTGGGGCTGTGAGATAAAAATATAGCAGTGGTAATGTTCCTCCTTTGCCATATGACTGAGTGCCAGAGGCAGTTAAGTTTAATATCTCAGATATTGAAAGCCCTCAAGTAAATTTTATAATCGCTGATATCAACCAGAGAATTTGGGGAGATAATGATATTTTTTAATTGGAATTCTTTAACTGTTTTTATTCTGATTTTGCAATAAATGAGGCAATTGATAACTGCCCTTTTGATCACTATTATTTTAGTTATTTTTACTAGTTAACTTAGAAATTATTTTGTCAGTTCCTCAACACAGCCTTATAGATTAATCACTACATTGGTTCTGTTACTAAATTTGTGAGTTACCAATCTTCTCTAGGGCTTTACTTTCCTATAAGCTTGATCATCTGGCTACATTTAACACAGACTTTGGTGTTAGACATGAACTTGAAGCCTGACTTTTCTACTTAACCTTTATTCTCTCTGAGCCTCTGTCTCCTAATCTTCAAAAAGTAAATAATAAAACATGCAAATATATGTATATATATAATCTCGCAGTGCCTGGAACATAATAGTGATTATTAATTTGAGCATTTTCTGATAATTTAGAAAACCATACATCAATTGCTGTAATTCAGTACTGTTTTCCATGACCTGATAAAATGGTTCTGCTTCTAAAAGTTTTATACTTGTTCTTAGACAGAGCAGCTAATGTCTGTTATCAGGAATTTGATGTGCCTGCAGTTTTCCCTATAGAACTGAAGCAGTATCTTCCAAACATTGCCTACAGCTATGACAGACAAAGGTTAGTCTTCGCGAAAAGTTTTTCCTATCTTCTGTCTTATGCTGTACCTTAAAATAGATATATATTTTCTAAGAAAAAACTATAGAGAGTTTGGGTTTTTTTGTGTGTGTGTGTGAAAAAGTATAACTTAGATTTTTATGTTCATCATAAAATGTGTTAATGTAGGTTATTTGAAATTTAAAAATTTCTATTAATTTAGCTCATTCTGGTTATTATTACCACCCACTTTTATTCTATGTAGTACTTTATAAGTTTCAACCTTAAAAGTTTTTTTAGGCGATTCTATTGTTTCTCCTACCTTCAAACACTTCAAATAAGCTTTAATCATTTTAAGAATCCTGTTCTCCATTTTACATGAAAGCACCCAGCTGAAGAAAGGGACCAAATTTTACATGTTATTGACTTTGTGTGCTTCACTATTAGATTCAGAAACTTAAGAGTGAATAAAAGGGAAATTTTCAAAAAAATATGCATTTTTTTTGCTTTTGTTTTTATTTTTATATAATTTTTAAAGATTATTTTCCATTTACAGTCATTACAAAATATTGGTTATATTCCCCATGTTGTACACTGCATCCTTGTAGCCTGTCTTATACCCAGAAGTTTGTACCTCTTACTCTCCTACCCTTGCATTTCCCCCCCCACCCACTGGTAACCACTAGTCTGTTCTCTGTGCGTCTGCTTTTTCCTTGTTATATTCACTAGTATGTTGTATTTTTTAGATTCCACACATAAGTGATAAGAATAAATATTTATGGCTGCACTGCATCTTCTTGGCTGCACACAGGCTTTCTCTAGCTGCAGTGCGCAGGCTTCTCACTGCAGTGGTCTCTCGCTGCGGAGCATTGGCTCTGGGCACACAGGCTTCAGCAGTTGTGGCATGTGGGCTTTGAAGTTGCGGTTTGTGGACTCTAGCGCTCTGACTCAGTAGTCATGGTGCATGGGCTTAGCTGTCCCGCAGCATGTGGGGTCTTCCTGGATCAGGTATCGAACCCGTGTCCCCTGCCTTGGCAGGTGGAGTCTTCACCACTGAGCCACTAGGGAAGCCCAAGAACATATGTATTTTTAATGTAACATTTATTTTTTGTGCATTAAGTGGAAAGTCTACTGAGAATACTCAAGTAACAATTTTTAAATATAAGTAATTATATATAGCTAAGAGTTTTTTTTTTTTAACAATGCTATAGGAAGACATTACCTTTATATCATTTCACTTAGCTGCCAGTTGCTAGCAAACTTTATTTTACACAGGTCCTATTGTCCTTTGATGATGAATGATATTTAAAACTTAAACAATTCCCTATACTTAAAACTTGATAACTTTTATGTCTCTATATGTATGTGTGTGTGTGTTTTAACAATGAAGTTTTTTTAACCTGATATTCTGGGGCATAATATTATTACTGTTCAGCAAGTACAGGAAAAGTTAGAAGAGTAGGAACATTGAGGGTATGCATATGTCTTATTGTGTCCATAAAAGGTATTTTTTTAAATTCCAATAAATTTTAAGTAATGTTTCCAGCTTTGCAGAGTACAAAGATACAAATTAATTTTTTTTGAAGTGTTGAACTATAATGTCATTTTAAAATGCATCTTGTGATACCAGTTTTGAGGACTGGAACATAGAAACATTTTCAAAGAAGTAGTCAGTTATATATACTTGTTAATTTGTGGGCTTTTTAAATGATGCAAAACAAATGTGCTCTAAAATGCCTCCATCAGTGATGAGAGCTATTTCTTTATGGAAATCAAGTACATAAATTGAGATGATAGTAAGGAATCTGAATACAATTATCAATAAAATCCATCTTGATGGTATTAAAAATATGAGCTTGTATCTGTTAACACTCCTAACATTTGTCTGTTTTTGTGTTTGCAGTCCACTACGATGTGTCGTTCTTGTTGCACTCAGGGACATTGAACAAGGAGAAGAGCTTTTTTCAAACTACTATACAATTGTCAGCTAACTCTATGAAATTACGTTTACAACTCAGTTATTGAGCTAATTCTAAATGTTTTTTATTAAGTTCCACGTGCAGAACAAATGTTTTATACCTAATTGGACTGGGAATTTTGTTTTTATTGATATTAGTATTTCATCATAAAACCTATTTGCTTTGTTACAATTTCAAATTTGTAATGCAATTCCAGTGTTAATTTTGTTTTCACCTAAGTACACAGTAGCTTACTAAATTAAAAGCCACCATCTGAACTTATAATTTCAACTATTCTTTTTATTGTCTTTGGTAGTTTATCAAATTTTAGCCAAGTCATCAGCAGTTCTTACATGTTGATGTGTACTAACATCCATAAAAACTTATTCAGAATAAACCAAGACCAAAAATATTTGTTGTGTTGTCATGAGTTAATTGGGGTTTGTGTATAATTTCAAGATTGTTTTAGCTGGTTAAGGGGGCAATGGGGAGTCATTATACTATTTTCTCTATTTGAACATTTTCACACACGTGCACACCTACAAAGCTTAAGAGACTGTAAGAGAGATTGTTTTGGCATGGAAATAGAGTTAAAAGATAGTGGTGGGAGGAACACCTATTCCCCACTTCTCATGTTTAGAAGGCTTCCATTAGTAATTCTTCCTCTCTCTCCACCTTTTGGAGGAAGAATAGTTCTCTGAGATTACTTTTAGAGAAGAACTAGACACCATGGCCCAAACCCCACTAGTTCCTTCTCTGTGGACTCTCCCAGTAGAGTCTATTCTGGGTGGTTCTCAGCCCTGGATGGGGAATGGTGGTTCTCAGCCCTGGATGGGGAATAGCCTGTAGTCAGCCCAGCCAGGAAAGGAGTGAGTCTAGTTCAGAGGTGGAGTATCAAGTGAGCTGGCCTGGCATCAGCTCTGAAGCCACATTCTCCAGTTCTATTAGTAGGAGTGACTTTGATCCCCATAGACCTGACTCTTACATCCAGCCCTCAGCTCCATACTTGGATAGTGAGGGTGTGATTTATGGGCCTCTCCATGGCACCTGTACAACCAGATTCTGACCCTTTTTACTGCTACACCAACAGCTCTTCTCACTTAAGTTTATTGCAATTTCAGTAGCCTCCTAATTGCTTTCCATGTTTCCATTCCTGCCCCCTTTTCAGAATAGACAGCCAAGAGTGATTCTTTTAAGCACAAATCAGATCCTGCTGGCATCTACTCAGAACTCTTGACTACTCCTACTTTAGAATAAATGCCAAGTCCTTCACTGACCTCACATCCTGCTCTCTCCACACAGCCTCAGCTATCTCCTTACCACTCCTGAGACTGCAGGGTGCACTCCCACCTCAGGCTTTTTGTACTAGCTCTGCCTCCAAAAACCTCCCCGCAAATAGCCATATAGCTCATTCCGTCACCTTCCCTAACTAACCTACTGAAATTTACAATCCTCAACCGCCAACTCCAGCACTCCCCATTCATTTCTCTTATGTAGCGTCTATGATGTATATGCACCTAAGTCCATGTGAGCATCTTTTTCTCAGCCTCATTTGTCTTTTATTTGTGCCACCAGGGGAACTCACTTTGTTAACAAGCCAAGGACTTCCCTGGTGGCTCAGTGGTAAAGAATCCGCCTGCCGGAGACACGGGTTCAATCCCTGGTCCAGGAGGATCCCACATGCCTCGGAGCAGCTAAGCCTGTGCAACACACAGGCTATTGGGCCCGTGCTCTGGAGCCCAGGAGCCTCGACTACCGAAGCCTGAGCACCCTAGAGCCCGTGCTCCACACAAGAAGCTGCTGTAATGAGAAGCCCAAGAACAGCAACCAGAGAGTAGTCCCCACTTGCCGCAACTAGAGAAAAGCCCTCTTGCAGCAACAAAGACCCAGCACAGCCAAAAATAAAATATACATTCTACATATATATATATAAAAGCCAAGAATAAAATATACATTCTACATATATATAAGCCAAAAATTAAATATACAGTCTACATATATATAAAAAAGCCAAAAATAAAATATACATTCTACACATATATATGTAGAATGTATATTTTATTTGTATATTATTTATATATATTATTATTAGCATTATTTATATATATAGTATAGTATATATAAGTAAATAGTATTATTTATATATGTGTGTGTGTGTTTATATATATACATATATATATATATATGTATATATATAAAAGAAGCCAAGTTAGTTGATCAAGAAGATCCTAATATCCAGAACTTTATGTTAAATACAGAAATGTAACTCCTGTGGTAGTGTTAGGTAGACTGATGCATTTAGGAGTGAAGTGTTGCCATGTCAGGCTTTTTAAAAATAATTCATTAAAAAATGTGTATAACATAGAGTACAAATATGGTATAACATTAATTGTTCAATCAGGATTGTTCTTTATACTCTTACTTTAACTTTTGTCTTAAAAGTTTTACTATCTTAAGTTGGGGGGAAAGTTACCATCAGCTTAAGTGTAATATAGTGAAACAAACATCAAATTCATCAAACATTTACTGAATGCCTACTATGTGAAGGGTCCTGGAAGATTCAAAGAATAAAACAGTTCCTGCTGATAAAATGCTCACAATGGGAGCATAAAGCGTGCCAGTATGATGACTTGGTCTGGACTAGAGGGATGGAGTTATTTTTAAAAAAGAAAACACTGCTATTTTTTTTAAAATCATTTTTTCCTTACTGGAAAAACTTTTCAAGAATTTCTTGAAAACTTTCTGAATAACTTTTCAAGATTTATAAATGACTTATTTCATTTCTGACATGTTTATGAAATATTTTTATTAATTCTACACCAGAAAAACAACTTCATGGCAGTATTAGCTTTACTTGTATAAAAACAATCTCATCAAAATCTAGGTATACTATGAAGCATGTCTCTTGCTGAAGTGAATGCCAGCTAAAGTATATTAAGCCTTGAAAAATGTGAGCATTTCTGATCTAGGACTAGGACCTCAGTGCTCCTGTGCAGTTTTCTTCAGAGAACCCAGCCAGCCACAGAAAAGAATACAGATTAGAGATCACTTACCTGGGTGGGAAATCCTAAACAGTGCTACACCCCAAGACTAATTTAAATTAAAAATGGAAGTGTGTATAACAAACTACCGAATTGAAGATGCCACGAAACCTTTGAAAAAGGAAGAGAAGCAGTATGCTGGAAAAGCAAACCATGGATGGATGAAATGGGTTAAGGTCTACAAGTGGCTAGATTACTCTGCTCTCACGAGGCTCTCCTCCCTCCCCTAAACGCCTAAAGTGCTGTGCTCTCATATGGCACCCGTCTGCACGCCTGGCTGTATTTAGCCAAGAAACACTGTTGTTTCTCCCCACTTTGAAGGCACTTCTGTGTATGTGTCCACCAGGGAGGCCTGCTCATCAAGGCTCTTTGGTGTCTGTGAATGAAGAAATATGGTTTTAGATGAGCAACTGAAGCAAAGATGTCCTCTTGTCCTTGTACAAAATCTGGACATTATGAGCCATCTGATCACTGCATATTAAGAAAGCAAATAGAGAAAGCTCTGGTCAGAACAAGTGAAATACGGGGACTTGTGAAATTAGGCCAAAGTGAGATATTTAGCTTGGGAAGATGAAGACTAGGGAAAGTTATTTCTGGAGTATACCAAACAAAAGACAGGGATCAAGACCATCCCCAAGAAAAAGAAATGCCAAAAGGCAAAATAGCTGTCTGAGGAGGCCTTACAAATAGCTGAGAAAAGAAGAGACGCTAAAGGCAAATGAGGAAAGGAAAGATATACCCATTTGAATGCAGAGTTCCAAAGAATAGCAAGGAGAGATAAGAAAGGCTTCCTCAGTGATCAATGCAAAGAAATAGAGAGAAACAATAGAATGGGAAAGACTAGATATCTCTTCAAGAAAATTAAAGATACCAAGGGAACATTTCATGCAAAGATGGGCTCAATAAAGGACAGAAATGGTATGGACTTAACAGAAGCAGAAGATATTAAGAAGAGGTGGCAAGAATACACAGAAGAACTGTATGAAAAATCTTCATGACCCAGATAATCACGGTAGTGTGATCACTCACCTAGAGCCAGACATCCTGGGATGTGAAGTCAAGTGGGTTTTAGGAAGCATCACTACAAACAAAGCAAGTGGAGGTGATAGAATTCCAGTTGAGCTATTTCAAATCCTAAAAGATGATGCTGTGAAAGTGCTGCACTCAATATGCCAACAAATTTGGAAAATGCAGCAGTGGCAACAGGAAAAGGTCAGTTTTCATTCCAATCCCAAAGAAAGGCAATGCCAAAGAATGCTCAAACTACAACACAATTGCACTCATCTCACACGCTAGTAATGCTCAAAATTCTCCAAGCCAGGCTTCAACAATATGTGAACTGTGAAATTCCAGATGTTCAAGCTGGTTTTAGAAAAAGCAGAGGAAACCAGAGATCAAATGGCCAACATCTGCTGGATCATCAAAAAAGCAAGAGAGTTCCAGAAAAACACCTATTTCTGCTTTATTGACTACGCCAAAGCCTTTGACTTTGTGGACCACAACAAACTGTGCAAAATTCTGAAAGAGATGGGAATACCAGACCACCTGACCTGACTCTTGAGAAACCTGTATTCAGGTCAGGAAGCAACAGTTAGAACTGGACATGGAACAGACTGGTTCCAAATCGGGAAAGGAGTACGTCAAGGCTGTATATCGTCATCCTGCTTATTTAACTTATATGCAGATTACATCATGAGAAATGCTAGACTGGATGAAGCACAAGCTGGAATCAAGATTGCTGGGAGAAATATCAATAATCTCAGATATGCAGATGACACCACCCTTATGGCAGAAAGCGAAAAACTAAAGAGCCTGTTGATGAAAGTGAAAGAGGAAGAGTGAAAACGCTGGCTTAAAGCTCAACATTCAGAAAACTAAGATCATGGCATCTGGTCCCATCACTTCATGGCAAATAGATGGGGAAAGGAAACAGTCACAGACTTGATTTTCTTGGGCTGCAAAATCACTGCAGATGGTGACTGCAGCCATGAAATTAAAAGATGCTTGCTCCTTGGAAGAAAAGCTATGACCAACCTAGACAGCATATTAAAAAGCAGAGACATTACTTTGCCAACAAAGGTCCATCTAGTCAAGGCTATGGTTTTTCCAATAGTCATGTATGGATGTGAGAGTAGGACTATAAAGAAAGCTGAGCGCAGAATTGATGCTTTTGAACTGTGGTGTTGGAGAAGACTCGAGAGTGCCTTGGACTGCAAGGAGATCCAACCAGTCCATCCTAAAGGAATTCAGTCCTGAATATTCATTGGAAGGACTGATGTTGAAGCTGAAACTCCCAATACTTTGGCCACCTGATATGAAGAGCTGACTCATTTGAAAAAACCCTGATTCTGGGAAAGACTGAAGACAGGGAGGAGAAGGGGATGACAGAGAATGAGATGACTGGATGGCATCAACAACTCAATGGACATGAGTTTGAGTGGACTCCGGGAGTTGGTGATGGACAGGGAGGCCTGGCGTGCTGCAGTCTATGGGGTCGCAAAGAGTCAGACACGACTGAGTGACTGAACTGAACCAAACTATGAACATTATAATAAGGAAGACTAGTTTACTATAAATATATACTATGAAATAACATCTAATCAGATGTCAGGTCTCCCTAAATGACAACAGTTACTGAGAACAGTGTTTGAAACGTAACAGACATTCAATAAGTATTTCCTGAAGGGAACTAAAATTACATATAATCCTCACTTTGGGATAGCTAGAGTTTTATTGTATTGATAGATGGACATTTACTGTAGAGGATTTAAAGAAAAGTATTTTACCTATCAATTGTATTTACCTATCAAATATCATTTACTACATCTAAAACCAACTTAACAGTGCTTAAATATCTGCTCATGTGTTACAGCTTAAGGGTCATTAGATAAAAATCTATTTGTGGAAATACTCACACGAACCAAGAAAAAAAAAGATTTCCAGCTTTTTATTTCTGGAACTGTACACCAGGTATTAAAGTACAACAAATACAAAATAATGCTCAAAAAAATCAGTGTTTATGTACAAATATTAAAATCAATGCAACAATAGCAACTTCCTCTTGAACATCTGATACTAAAACTTGTTCTGATTGTCACTAATCAATCTCATACTCACGGCGTACTTATTTCAAACCGGGACAACTGGAATCACTGGTCATCTAAGAGGAGTTTTAATATCTACCATATTTAACAATAAAACTAACAGTTTCCTCCTTTTAGTGAAAAAATTAAGAACTTTTTAAAAAACATAGTAATGTCAATATTTTTATAAATTATTTCAATTTCCATTTGTAGACAATGTGCTTTGAAACTCTGGGCAAACAATCTCCTTGGTGGTCAGGTTTATTCATTAGTTTACATTCAAAGTTGAAATATTTACTAGAGACTTTGGTTAAATTAAATAGTTTCACTATGCTCTATTAGAATCTGATGTTCTCAAATATTATGACCCTCAATTGTACAAATTAAAAAGGAAACAATTGCACAGTTCTTTGACCTAATTGTACAGACTTTAGTATTGTTTAAACAGTATTCTACATCCTTCAAGTAAATTCAGCAGTTGACCATAACAAGAGGAAAACTAAACACTGAAAAAGCTAGCATGAAAAAGTGGAGTACAACTAACAAAAGTAAAGTATTGCTATAATCACAGCACCAGTTTCACTTCTAAATGAATCCGCTGTCCTCTTCAAACCCCCTGTACATAAAAAGACACATCAGCCAACACTGCAACTGCTCACCGTGGATTTTTGGTTTGTTCATATGAAAATAATATGGCAAAGAAAAAAAAAAGAATTTATCACAGTTTGTTATAAGAATTGTGCTTAACTCTTGATAATAAAGGCATTATTGTTTCTTCATAAGACTGCAAATTGGTTATTTTCACACTCTCAAACGCAATTCTTCTAAGAAACAGTAACAAATTCTCTGTTAAGATGCTTAAACGGAGAGGAAAAAAAACCCAGTAAATCCAGATTTAAAAGGAAATTCAATAAATAGTTATTTTACATGAATAAAGTCATAGTGGTACAATTATGAATGTCACATCAAGCATGCACAAAAATGGTATTATACATGGAGGAAGCAGTCAGAAAATATTGAATTAGATCTAAAAAGATATGAAGAATTTACAGATATATACAAAAATCTTGCAAATTATTGCCTCATTTTAACAAGGAATTAAAAGTAAACGTTACCAGCTAGTTAGCACTCTCTAAGAGGCTAAAATCAGATTGGTGTTTAAAAATCTATTAAACTAGCTGGAATTTATTTTTCTCTCATATCATTTCTGGATTTTGGTCAAAAACCTTTATTTAAATAACTAAAGTGTCCATTCAACTTGCTGATAATCAAAACTTTAGATAAGAAACACTGTTTCCATCTTATATCAAGATCCCAGCAATGCATAGATAAACTGAATATATTACTGCATCAGCTACTGAGAATGGGCATGTTCATTTAAGTGCAACTGGTATTAGCATTCAGTCATCTTTGTGTAAATTATTTTATACAGACCAGCCACTGTAAACCCAGAGTAAAAATTAAAGTTATAACAATGGAAGATTATGGCCAGTATCTTACTAAATTATATATGTATTCATTTTTAACAAAAGAAATTAGGTTCAAAGTTTAGCACAACACCACAGCAATATGAAGCTGACAACTTGGATAAAAATATCTGAAAGCAACAAAAAGCCCAGGCTACCCATTATTTACTGTGTGCATACAGGAATGCTGACTTTAGATGTATAAATTAGAGACTGACTTTAAGTTATTAATTTAACTACTTTCGTCCACTGTGCTAAACTAACTTTTTTAGTAAATGTGCTAATGCGTAAACACTTCAAAGCAATCTTCATTAAAATGCTGCAAAGAAAAATAAGAATACACATCATCCAAAACTAAGGATGTCATTGCAGTTCACAGTTTGTATAATAAATACCCTCCCTTTCCATCACTAAGGTCACTACATTCTATCTAGTCATCAGCACAACCTTGAAGCAACATACTTAAAAATATCAGCAATGTAGCCAAATATTTAAGTTTTGGCAAAGCAAGACAACTAGTAGAAATTGAAAATTTTAATTAAGACGGTGCAAAAAAAAAGGAAAATTCTATGTTTAACTGAACTATAAAAGCAAAGCTTATCACATCCTAACACTGCATTACATATTGCATGAATTCACCTTATAACTTAAAGATGCATGTTTACAGAGCAAAAATGGCCAGAGTTTATGACAATGGTTTCTCATTCACAATGTTTAGAATAAAAATAAAAGTGAGTTTTGAGACGCATCTGAACGTCAATCACTTTTTAGAACTTAAAAGTGGTAACGTACCATTGTATTTCAGATAGAAACTCACATTCTTTTTCCCCCAACTGGTCCAAGTTAAACAGAAAAGTTTAAATATACTTCAAGGTTCTACTGCATTATGTGTAGGATCTAGAAATCCCACCTAAAGATTAACATTTGAACTGCAGCACTACAAACAACTGAAAAGGTGTCCCAAAATGTAAACCAGTCTAAGTGGCAACATCCTCGGCTTTGTAGACTGTGCCCTGCAAGTCAACTGCCTCAGGAAAAACTAAGTTATCAATGACCGGTATGACTTTTATGACTACAATCTTGATAATGGTGGACAAAACCCCATCTAAATACTGTATCTTCAAATGCCAATTTTTTAGCCAATAAATGAAATTACACAGAAGTTTTCTGGCAGTAAAATGACCAATTCTGTGTAAGGTAGCCCTGGTCTAGAATTTTGAAACAGGATCCAAGCAAGCGTCTTCATAATTTGCACGCAGTTCCTCGTGCTGGCTTCTATAAAGATGGACTTGCTGTTTTGTAAACTGAAGTGCTCTAGTTGAATAACATGAGAGAAGTTTCCATTTTTAAAAAAATCCTTGCATGTTTGTGCAGTTTAAAGAAACCTACCCCTGCTTTTATTTAATTAAGAAAATAAAACCAAAAAATGCTACATTGAGCAGGGATCAGGATCGGTACCTGTAAACATTGTTATTCCACTGCATCCATTACGGCAAAAGGAATCTACACGAAGAGAAGCCACTCCATTCAGTTCAGAACATCTGTGCTGGTTTTGAGCTGGTGGCCTCTGTCTACAGGTTTTAAAACTGGGAGTGAGGGCAGTGGGAACAGAAAAGAATAGAAAAAGAAGGGAGTGGGGAAGAGGTACTGGGGATGAGGAAGAGATAAGCAGAGCTTAAAGCTGCACCACAGAGTTCAATCTTAGTTCCCAACTCTGCTGATCATAGTTCATTTCCACATTTATGGATTGAAAATGAAAATACTCTTGATAAATCAAGATATAGTTCTATACATACTGACATCACTGATGTCATAGTGAAAAAAGTTCAAACTTCCAGTGAAAGACTAAGCAAACCTGATACTTTCCTGGTACTGGTACTGCACACCCACTGTTTCTGGGCCCTTCACTCGTTTCATTCAGAATGCAGGGCGGCATGCTGATGCAAAGCGTGGGCACTGATGAAACCATTGGTCTCGTTGGCAGACAGACTGCCAAAGTCAGCCACAGACACAGCCATTTTGGCACTGGTGATATGATGTGTGTGATTTTCAAAGTCCACACCCAAATTATTTACAGAAACCTCATTCATAAAGGATTCAGGAACAGCAATGCCCATTTTCAATCTCTTTGCTGGTCTTTCTGACTCTTCACTGCACATGTTCATGGGGTTCAGCTCTGAGTGATAAAATCCAGTCTCAAATAAATTAAAACAATCACTTTCCCCATTGCTGGGCAGGGTGAGTAACTCCTCCGTTACAACAGGCACATGATTGACTTGTCCACGGGGCGTGTTGCCCAGTGGAGGAAAGCTATCATCCAAACAATTCACATCCGTTGGATTGCAGACGGTCGCTACACTGTTGGTCAAAGCTAAAAAGAAATGAGAAATGGTTTCAGTAAGTGGTCCCACATCATGCGACAAAGAGGATATAATTCTGTCCCACATTATACTAAAAAATGCAAAAAGATGCTCAAGTTATTACCTGTCAAATCACTGGCAGTGAAAGAGTTGAGAATGTTTAGCTGTTGATCAGGTACAGGCTCAGGTCGGTTAGAAGTTAAGGCTGAAGAATTTACTGTCCCACCCAGAGCTTCTGTTTCATCCACCAAACGATCCATATAGTCCCTAAAAAACACACCCAAATAATGTTGTGACTGCATATCACAGTTAAAAACAAAAATCCCTGAAGTCAAGCCCATGGTACTTACGTAACTCCAGGGTGATGGTTATATCGTTTCTTTCCAAATTTTGTCTGTTGAGCAAAGTAATCATAACGCTCAGATTTCTTCCACATATAGTAGAATGCTACACATTCAGCAACTGTTCTAGTTCTCACCTAATGAAAAAAAGTTGAATTTAAAAAACAAAAAAATTCTACACACTTTTTACACATTTTTTAATAACTTTTTTTACACCCTTCAGTCTTATTTTCTATCTTCCTAATTATGAAATTCTGAACATGTTACTAGTAAACTGTCTTTATTTTCATACTATTTAATAATGAGGCTACCTTCCAAAGCCCAAGGCTTTTTTCAGAATGTAATAATAATAATAAATGTGCACCCAGAAATTATCTTACATCTTTACTGAAAATCTTAAAACACTGACACTTTACTTTTCTTCACTGAACTTTCACCATAATTCTGACTGTACCAAGGGTACTTGTTAACCCTGAGTGATCCATGAATGAGCCTCAATGGGATGGAGTAATTCCCAAAATGTCATTCAAGTACACTTTTCTAGTGAGAAGGGTGCAGCTTCATCAGATTATCAAAGGGCTCCATGACCCAAAAGAGACTCCGTTTGCAAAGGGATCAGTACTCAACCACATCTGGAATTTAAGATGATTGCCAGCTAAAGGCAAGATTTTTCCTCTACCATGCATTTGGTTCTTAGCTGCAACAAAGTCTGGTAGAAAATCAACAATGATAATGAAATTTGAGCCTCATTCAACTTGGCTCCACATCCAGACTAAGGTTTCTGTAACTATATACAGCTAAAGGTATGAGTTTAGACGTACAGAAAAAAATTCCGTATCTTTACCCATATAAACACTTTCTCCCCTGCTTAATTACCCAAATAAGAAGTTTCAGAACCTCTATGGTGATTAGTGGCTTTGTTATAAGATCATAATATAGGAACAAGCATTTTAAACCAAGAAATAAAGTATACCTTTCAATAAACACATTAACCATAAGTCTCCAAAACTTGAAAGCAATCAAGATGTCCTTCAAATAGCAAATGGATAAACAAACTGGTACATCCATACAATGGGATATTATTCAGTGATAAAAAGAAATGAGCCACAAAAAAACGTGGAGGAACCTTAAATGCATATTACTTAAGTCAAGAAGCCAATCTGCAAAGGCTACATACTGTATGATTCCAATTATATGACACAATTTTAGATCACTGAAACTATTCTGTAGGATACTACAGTGGTGGATATGTATCATCATATATTTTTCAAAATCCATTGAATATATAACACAAAGAGTGAACCCTAATGTAACTATAAACTTTGGGGGATAAAAATATGGCAGTGTAGATTTATCAGCTGTAACAAATACACCACTCTGGTGTGGGATGCTGATGGAGGAGGAAACCATGTGTGTGCGGGAGCAGGAAATACATGGGGCCTCTGTCTACTTTCTCTATTTGGCTATGAACTTAAAAACTGCTCTAAAAAATAAAGTCAATTTTTAAAAAACTGTGTATATATTCTGAAAAGCTTGAGATAATTATATCTCATTAAAATATGATTTGTTTATTCTTTCTTTTTGTCCTACAGAAACTAGGATTCTGAAATATTTAACTGGATATTCAATGCTTATTGCTGTTCAATATTCTAGGCCTACTGCTTTTTAAACTAGATTTTGTATTTCAGAGCAGTACTGGGTTTGTGGCTCAGATGATAAAGAATCTGCCTGCAATGTAGGAAACATGGGTTCAATTCCTGTGTTGAGAAGATCTCCTGGAGAGGGAACTGGCAACTCCCTCCAGCATTCTTGCCCGGAGAATCCCACAGACAGAGGAGCCTGGCCAACCATGGGGTCACAAAGAGTCAGACACAACTGAGCGACTAGATGACATGACGCTGAGTTTACAGAAAGACTGTTCAGAAAGTAACCAATATGTTAATAGCATGGGAGCATTAACAAGTTACAGCTTTTCCCCCCACCTAAGTGACTTATAAATTAGTTGCTTATATTCGTTGTAATCACTAAACAATTTTTCTGTTTGTTTCTGTCTAATCTGCCTAACTTACCTTATTCTTCTGTATAAGATGAAAATCTTTTCCAAAAAGCATGAGTGCATGTTCAAAGCTCCGGCATTCTTCTTCTGTCCATGCAGTCATTCCTTCTAAAGAAATTTTAAAACAAAATAAATTGGCCTCAAAACTCTTATATACAAATCACTGATTTGTATGGTTGTAGTATGGTTTCCTAATAAAAGACTATAAACTTCTACACACACACACATACACATACACATACAAGTCCTTACTGAAAGTATGCTTTTAGTAATCCTAACTAAAAAAATTTAGAATACCAAAATATAAACATTGGGTTTTTTTCTCTGTATAATGAGACAAGAATTTATTATTTTCTCTGTAATTTATGTTCATTGTTTTTCTGATTTCTTTTTTTAAAACAATGAGCATTTTTAATTAGAAAAAAGTAAAATGTTATTTCCTCTATGGAAAAAAAAAGCCTTACTTTGGTCTTACATCAAAATCATTTATGGTCTCTTTAAATTAGAGGCCATAAATAATCAACACACATTTATTTAAAGTCAGTTTGCAGAGTGCTATACTGCAGAAATATGAAGGGAATAAAACACAGCTTTTGCTCTCAAAAGACTAAGTCCCATTCAACTTCCCAGCAGATATTAATACTGATGAATTAAATCTACTTGAAGCAGAGGAGACCTGAAGTGCCTCACTCACAACGGAGAACTGGTCCCCTAAGCCATTCACAGTAGTCCACCACAAAGGTGAAAAACAATTTGACTAAAAAAGAAAATCTTAGAAATCTTGAACTAAAGAAAAATTAAATGCACTTAGCTTTCCAGAGTTTTGACAGCTTAAAATAATTTTCCAAAAAAGCAGCTATTACAAAGAAACCTTTCAATAGACTATTTCACTTGCAAGTTTCAATGCATTGTTTTCAGCTTTTGTATTTTTCCAAGTTTATTTATATATATTATTAAGCATTATTTCACTCTACATATACTTAATGAAAGCTATGGTGCATGCAATCCATTTATATGACAAAAATACTGAAATTAAAGTTAACCTTTTTTCCTTGACACACACAAATCAAAACCTAAGCACTATAAAAATGTTTTACATGATTACTAAAAATATACTTCTTGCATGTTTATTATCATGTTTGGAATATATTACACGTTTCTTTTTTTTAAATCTCCTTTTCATTTCCTGTCTAGTTTGAGAAAAAGAAAAACCAACTTTTCCCCCCAATGAAATCATAAAATCCTTCTTATTAATTACTTCGGATATACTGTCATCTCTGGGGTCTGCTTTGTTCTGGAGGTGACAGGGGGGTAACTAATTTGTATTTGAACAATCTCTGGTATGTCTAAAAATAGAAGGCAAGAAAAGGAAAAAATTATTTGCTATGAAGATGAACACAGATCTTACACAAAAGTGTGATAGGACTGCTCCATCCTTTATGATACTTTGCTTATTCTGAACCCTAAGACCACCCCCTGGCCTTTCCCTCTCTTGATCCCAAGTGCTTCTTACCTTGAGATGCCTTTCCATTGCAGCAATATCTTTCGATTGCTTCCTTTATATTATGGTTACACTTGAGAAGTTCATATAATGCCTAGGGGCAAGGGGAAAAAACTATTCAATAAAATTAACCAAAAGTTCATACTTGGCAGCATTAAAAACAAACACACAAACAAAAACATGTGCATTTTAAGAATCCTGACAAATACCAGCTGAAATGCTCATTTCAGGACTTCTGAAGCATATGTTTGCCCACACATTTAATTTATCCTGTACACTGACTCTGATATCCCAAAAGTTTGTTCATTCTCACGTTACTGCTCAGAAGTTATCTACCAATATCATTCCTCGCTTTTTCTTTTTTAATTGCTAGATCTTCTGAGCTGGGAGAATTCTATTTTAGATGTTTATTTCCAGTTGGGAAAAGTAAGAATCATGGTCCTGTCTCTTGTTACCACCTACTCCCTGACTTTTAGAGTTTTAATAAAAGACAACAGTAGCAGGCATGGAGTAGAAGGAGAGATATTTTAATGATTGGAGTTTATTATGATCTTACTTATTTCCATTTACTATGGAAGATATCATTTTTTAAAAAATAAGAATTTCTTCCCATTAAATCTGTTTGGAATTATGAATATACTAAATAGCAGCAAACAGAACTCAACTGAAAGTTAACTAATAATCTACTTTACCAAGTAAGTTTCAAGAAAGGCAAGGATATGAGTAAACATATTAACACATTAACAGGTTAATAATCAACCCATTAATGATCAACCATTAAAAACAATTTCAACAGTTGCTAAAAAAAGCTTCAGATAAATCAGTACCCATTTTTATTTTTAAAAAGACAAAAAGTGTAACAGTTATAAGTAGCTGGATATTATCTTATTCTAAGAAAACAGCCGGCATCAAACCATGGCTGGTATTATGCTTAATGTAAAAACCTGAGGAGTATTCTGTGGTCACCCACTCAGCTGTTTCCAGCTCTTTGAGACCCCAAGGACTATAGCCCACCAGGCTCCTCTGTCCAAAGGATTTTCCACGCAATACTAGAGTGGGTTGTCTTTCTCTTCTCCAGGGGATCTTCCCAACCCAGGGATTGAACCCGAGTCTCCTTCTTTGGCAGGAGGATTCTTTACCACTGGGCCACCTGGGAAGCTCTTTCAACAGAAGCAGGCCTCATACCACTATTAGTACCAAAAGTCTCTGAGAGTTATGGCTGATGTAGTAGGACATATAATAGAATAAGAGATATAATAATAGTGAGGAAGGAACAAAAGTCTAATTCAATAATAACTTTAAGACTAGAAAACCTAAGAGAAACAAAAAAAATCAACTGATAAATCATTATACTAAATTAGTTTCAACAGCTTGAGAAAAAAAAATTTAATCTATATATTTCTCTAAATCAATAATATACAAATACAAATATACTAGAGATTCCATTTACAAAGCTAAATATACACACACATTTCAAGACAATGAGGAATCAATTAGACACGTGATATTTAAACAAAAACATTCAAGTGATTAAAAAAATCAAATAAATAGAGAATCAGATCATGCTCTTCAAGTAGAAGGTTTAATGTTTTAAAGGTACTAATTCTTCCAAAATTAATTTACAGTTTTAACAAAATATCAGTAGAAAAATCCAACAGGATTTCCTTTTGACAGCTGACAATTATTTGGAAATTCAAGTTTGACTCCACCTATCTCTGGGCACCATTAGTCAGGATTAACTAGACTAGCAATAACAAGTGAAAAGGTATATGAGAGGGGCAAAACAATGCCAGAGAGAAAAAACCCTTATAGGCCATATTCCCACCTTTATCCCACATACCATCAGGAGACTGCTCTGCATCTACAAGTACACAGTACTTAACAGATACCCCTAAAGCAAATTTATACACATAATAGACATTAACTTTAACCACTTCCTTAATAAAGTTCAAGAATAATCCAAGAAGTAAGTAACTTCATTGTAAAATCTCAAAAGTCTAATCACAGAGAATGTCTAAATATATGATGGAATATACAGTCACCAAGAATGAACTATTAAAGAAATCTCAATAGCAAAGAAAATGAGATTAAGGGATTAAAAGGATACAAAATGGTATATAAAGTAGAATATATGTGTGTATAAAGGAAAAAAGCCAGAAGACATGAAATAATACAGAACGGTTATCATTAGGTCCTGGGGTTTTTTTAAGTCAGTATCTTCCAAGTTTTAGAATCAGAAAGAGACAGCCAGTTCATAAATCTTTAATCAAATATAAGAATGTCAAGAGGATACTACATTAGTTAGCTGCTACTTCAGCAAAAACTGACGGATACCTGTTCATTGTCCCGTGTATGTGTTCCTGCAGAAATTCGATCCATTGTTTTTTCATTTCCAGTTCTTAATGAGGTCTCAACAAGGTACTCCTTAACTTTGCTCTCCAAAACCACACCAGGACGCCAAAGTAACTGGTCTTCATTTTCATACACTGATAAGGGAATCCCATTAACACATTAAGTGTATCAACACACTACAAGATATACACAAACTGTTCTCCCTCTTATACAAGTAACTAACTTTGAAGACACTGCTCATCTGATTGTCTGGCAAGCTGAGTCTTTCATCAGTAAAGGTTTAAAACAATTTTTTTTTAAACTTTATTAAGGACCAAGTATTCCACTGACTAAAGCAAGCAAGTTTTTTTGGTGGTTGGATTTACCAAATTAGAGGCTTTCTGTGTAGTCTAAGAGAGACTTTTCTAAGTAGTCTAATATAAAACCCAGCAGTGGTATCTTACATTCTTCTAATGAGGGGATAAAAGTAACCTGTGTAAACTCAGTAATAACTTTGGTGAAATTTTCTCTTTAACTCCCTAAATGACTCTATGAAATGTCTAGAGGTTAAAAATTGCAAAGAAATTAAAACAAATCAACAGAAACAAAAATATCAGCCAGTAATGAAATAACTAGGAAAGATATATTTTTCCTTTAATACACTGATTAAAAATGGAAAAGAATGGTAAACAGTAAGAAAAGCAAAGTTTCCACCTTTTAAAGAAGCTCATACTTAATAAGCAAACATCAGTAAAGCAAACTGTTTATTTTATTAATGCAAACACTGCTACCATTCTCAAAGCTTCCATTCCACATAATAGTCACACAGATGGCCCAAGTATTTATCCCATTGCTTCAACTTCAATCCATTCTTTAAGTGTATAATAATTACTAAATATAGCTAATGAAAGTAATTTACTGAGAGCTCACTATATAGCGGAGACCATAATAAGTGCTTTACACTCACAACTGTATAAGGCAGGCACTACTACTCCCAATGAGCAGAAAATTAAAAATAAAGTGTGCCTATGAAGCAATCAGACTGAACTTTTGAGGTAAGTTTCTGGAACTAGTTTCTTTATTCTTTGGTCAAAACTTAAACAGGTAAAATAGTTTGAGTTTATTTCCTCATAAGACAGGGAAGGTATACGCTCCTTTCTGAAGGTGCAGAACTGAGCAAATATCACCTTCATTATGCCTCATCTAAGGACTGGCTGCTGCTGAGCATGACCTTTGCTCAGGGCCAAATCTATGTGGTTTACAAGTTGAGCTAGGAAAGTGTACCTGGATTTTCACTTCCCACTACCTCATCCGTCCACATTTTCAGAACTAGCTATAGTTACAATATACCAAAAATGTGAGGGAAACTGATTACACTTAAGTAGGAGTGTGTAACAAAAGTAGCAGAATCCTTGAAGGAAAGTCAAAGTCGCTCAGTCGTGTCTGACTCTTTGTGACCCCATGGACTATATAGTCCATGGAATTCTCCAGGCCAGAATACTGGAGTGGGTAGCCTTTCCCTTCTCCAGGGGATCTTCCCAACCCAGGGATCAAACCCAGGTCTCCCGCATTGCAGCCGGATTCTCTACCAGCTGAGCCAAAGGGAAGCCTGAGAATACAGGAGTGGGTAGCCTATCCCTTCTCCAGCAGATCTTCCGAACACAGGAATAGAACGGGGATCTCCTGCATTGCAGGTGGATTCTTTACAACTGAGCTATCAGGGAAGCCCTGAATCCTTACCATTCTATCTTTCAGGGCTGGGGCAAGGGGAACTTCTTCAAGCTTCATTTTTCTTAAGCATTTCTTCCCCAGAAGATTTTATCCCTACTGTTCTCATATCTCAGGTGATACAACACTACCAGCTCCCACTGGAGTGGGATGTAGGCCAAAGAGTTGTACATTAAGAGCGGCTCCACTATTTTAACAGGTGCTTAAGCATACTAAGTGGCTCAGAGGGTAAAGCGTCTGCCTGCAGTGCGGGAGACAAGGGTTTGATTTCTGGGTCAGGAAGATCCCCTGGAGAAGGCAATGGCAACCCACTCCCGTACCCTTGCCTGGGAAATCCCATGGACGGAGAAGCTGGTAGGCTGCAGTCCATGGGGTCGCAAAGAGTCAGACACGACTGAGCGACTTCACTTTCCACTTTCCACCAGCATACTAAGAAGCACCGCAAGAGGTGGGGGGAAGGAGAGGGGAGCAGTGGCTCTCTGAGTCTCATGGTTAATTTTGATGCATTATTCCTAAATCAGGCTAACTCTTCCCGGACTCCAAATCTATCTTTACACTCACAGGATGAGTATACAATCAGATACTGAAATAAACATATTGAGAGATAACTGGACTTACCAAATATTATCAAAATTAACAGCCTTTCTTACCTTTCTCATTACCAGCATGTTCTCCAAGATATGGTGGAATCTCTGCTTGATATTGTAAACCAATCATTATTTCCTTCAGAAAAATTTAGAAGTAAAAACAAATTATAAAAATAAATACTGGAAAAAGAGTTTCAATTCATTCATCAGTTACTACAAGTCTAAAGTTATCTTGCAAAATTACCTTAAATTATTTCAGAAATGTTTTTAAAAGCTACTTTAAGCCAAATGATCGAAAGTTGCAATGGTAACTTAACATACCTTCCTCAGATCTTCAGGTGAGTTACCACTTTCTGTTTCAACATCTTCAACCTCTGATTCTTTATCTCCATCACACGTAGTATTTGCTTAAAAGAAGAAAATTAAATTTTTAAAAAGGGTTTTACTGCCTTTTTTTGCAGCACCTGAAAGAGTGGCTGATATTTTGTGATAAAAATTTGCAGAATAAATGAGATCAGCACAAATACACTAAACTTGGTGTACTATTCTCATTTTTACACTAGTCAAGACATTGAAAACATGAAGAAAATGCATGCTATCATTATAATTATTTGGTGTACAGTCATACAGTTTGGAGAGGCAAGAGCAGAAAGTAGAGCGCTGGACTACACTGATTACATTAATCCAGAGAGAGACACACACAGAGAGTGGCCAATGAGCTCATAAAAACAGGCTTTTTGCACACATATGTGTACTGTATTGGAACCTGTTAATTGAACAGTTCTTCTACCAGAAAAATACCTGAGAAATAAGCAAAACTGCATGTAAGAAATTATTTCAGTCCAAAGACCTTTTAAATATTGCTATATATATCAAAAGATAACACTAAGGAATTAAAAGGAAAGCATTACATAAATCACTAAAACTACAAAAATACTGTTGGCAACTGATGGCAGTTTTCAAAACCAGGAAAGTAGGAGCTTTTTAACAGAAACCTAAAAAATGTCTATAAAATTTCATGGCTGAACCAAGACTGGTTGCCTTAGCAACAGATGAGTCTTGAGAAAGAAAACAGCTTTGCAAAACCAAACAAATGCTTTCATTTTTAAACAGCGTATTAGTTTACATCTCTCCCAATAAAAAAAGGTTATGATCTTATTCGGATTATAATAGTATTCTATTTCAATTAAGTAAAACACTTAAAATACTCTGATAAAAACTACATTACGTAACAAAATGTACTCAGGCCAGAGCATCAGCGCTACTACTGCTCAGTAATGACTGGATGTCTTACAGCGTAAAGGTCTAGGGAAGAAGTCAGAAGCTTCATGGGAAGTCACAGATGGAGTCAGATCATCTGCAGAAGACTGAGTTTCCTCATCATCACCTGACAATAGGTCTTTTGCTATCTCCTCCTATAAGAAGAGGAATGCAACACTAGGGTTAGAAATAATTATATCCCATCAATATTGAAAAAAAATCTTTATAACATTACTCATAAACATGATGGTATTATAATACAGTTAAGAACTATTAATAATTGAAGCCTCAGTTTTGAGAGAAGTAAATTTGAAATTCTCCTTTAATTTACTTCATGTACATAATTACTTAGTAACATTTACTACTTAAGTATATATAATATTTAATGACCACATACTATTACACATTTATGATATAACAAACAATCTGTGGGTATTTGTGCCCAATTTGTGGGTATGCAGAGAACTTATCTGAAGTGGCAGACTAATTTTTAGTGAATTTACAACAAAAATAATCTTACTTCTAAGCAGTTAAAAATTAAAATTCACTTTCTGCCAACTTAAATAACTAAAACAAAACAGTCTCCAAATTCCACTCTTTCAGTAACTTTAAAAAGTTCAACAAATGTACCACTCAGACTAGTGATATAATTTTGAAAGAAACAGTTCTGAATTAATTTTATGTAAGTGTATAGTCATCCTTGTGCCTGGCACACAGTAGGCACTCGATATTTGCTGGATGACTATGGCCATTAAGGTCTTTGGTACATTAACATCACTTTTGAAAAGTGGGGACAACACAACTCACAGGAGGAGTTCCAAGATGTGGATCCCTCTCCCTGCTGGAGACCTGAAAATCAAGGAAAGCTTCCCAGGGATCGATCAGCAGAGACCACGACTATGAATTTTTCTCGCCCGGGACTGGCCACCCCCACAACCAGCCTACGTTAAAGACGTACCACTGAGGTCTTGGCTGCTATGGCCACTGTCACTCCCAGAGCCCAAGAAAACAGAGCTTCTCTCCAACCACTCCATGCCTAAGCCAGCTTGTTTGAAAACTTCTGGGGATCTATTAATCAATGCATTCATGTGTCCACAGGATCAAAAGAAGTTAGGGCAAAATCTAAGTGTAGATATAATATATCTACACAGGAAAGATAAAAAGTTATGGAAGAAAACTCTAATATTCAAATTATTATGAAGTTATTACTACTTTTAAAGCAGTGAGATCAAAGCCAAACAATATTCAAATCAGTCACCAAAATGACAAGAGCAACAGGTCCACAAGAAGTTTACAATTCAGAATTACGTTAACACTTTAAAGAAACTAGTAAAAGCAGTCAATGGTAACAGATCTGGGATTCTTCTTCTACATGCTCGTACTTACTTTGTCTAGTGTCATATCTGGTAGTTCATCTGCAAGTTCACTTGGGGAGCTATTTGCACTGGAATTTGCAACAGCTGGAATTGTAGGTTCATAGCCATAGAATGCCAATAAATCTTCTAGAGGCATGTTTCCTTCCTATTCAAGCCAGAGTACAAACATGAGCTCAGTAGATGCCACAATGCTGAACGGCAGATAAACCATGATGCCATTAATGTTCATAAAGCACATATATCAAAAGGCAGTACCAAATAAAAAACCAAGTTTTAGTTTTGCTTTTTGTACAATATACAGAAAACAGGAGCAAACACTAAGAGCTATAATTAATATCTGAACAAAAATCTAGCAATTAACACTTTAGTTTTCATTTTCCAGTATCATTTTACTTTTTAAAAACTTTGTCAAATATTTGCTTTAAGGCATACTTTTTCTTCCACTTTTCATTACTATATTCACCTTGAAGAATTACTTCATATAATTTTTAGCTTGTTTCCCTGCAATTAACAGTTGACCACTTGATTTATTCTTTGTGTTAATAGGAAGATACCTAATAAGAAACCTTGGCTGAACATTTATGAACACTATTATGTTTATATATTAATGTTCAAAACACAGTTATCCTTTGATATTCCTACTACTGTATCTATATTCTCTACCAGCTATTTTTTCCCCCACAACTTTCTGATGAAGTTTGCACTGCCACCAACTTACAGATGAGAAAACTGGGGCTTAATTCTGCATCTGAATTCCAGGCACTCTAGCTCTCTTCCTGGCGATGCTGCTTTGATAAAATTACATACTCTGACTGCAGTGCTGCCTGTGTTATGAATACTTATGCAATGCCAGATAGTGGCGCTCAGTCACTGTTTTTCCCCTCCACTAATCTGAAAATAAGTGCTATATTTCCTTGTTAAAAATATTTTAACTCAACCACAAAGTGCATAGAACCACTTGTAACTATCATTTAAATAACTTCACAATCATACACCCCTAATGTACAGCACAGAGAACTCTACTTGGTGCTGAGGTAACCTAAAATGTGAAGGAAATCCAAGAGAGGGGAGACATGTATATGTTTGGCTGATTCACTTTGCTGTACAACAGAAACTAACATGACATGGTAAAGAAACTACACTCCAATAGTAAAAAATTTTTATAAACCCATACATTGATGAACTAGCTAATTTCTTAAATATTTTGAAGATGTTTATGTCCATCTATAAAGAGGTTTGCTTTTAAAACTTGCTTATGGTTCAGTTTTCCCTTTAAGAAAAAACATCTAACTTGTGACGCAAACAGCATGAAAGTGTGAAGCAGAGTATGCAAAAATATGCCCAGCTGACCACAACAGTGAGCTAAGGAGGACCAGCGATGCCCACCCGAGCCTGAAGGGGACACGGGTTCTGAAGATCCCTAAGAACTGGCCTGCAGTTTACAGCTGGGCTTCCCTGGCGGCTCGGACAGTGAAGAATCTGCTCACAAAGCAGGAGACCTGGGGTCCATTCCTGGTCAGGAAGATCCCCTGGAGAAGGAAATGGCAACCCACTCCAGTATTCTTGCCTAGAGAATCCCATGGACAGAGGAACAGGGTGGGCTACAGTCCATGGAATCGCAAAGAGTCAGACATGACTGAATGACTAACACATTTTTGCAGTCTAGAACTTACATTCTGCACTATGCCTGAATGAAACAGGTTCATGTTATGAGCTTAGAATAAGGTATATGACAAAAGGCTAATTTGTAAATCTGCAATAGGAGACACGCACCTTTCCAATGACCATGCCATTCATTAAATCTTTTCAGCTTGGAACTGAAACTGCTTCGGAAGCATGGACAAATTCAGCACAAATTAAGCTGTATGGTCAGGATGAACAGAAGTTAACCGATGCCATGGGAAAACCTCATGAATTATTTCTCCAAAGAATGCCTCGAAGGTGCCAGAAGCACATTGAGAATTTCTCCAGTCCTGCTCTTTGTGAAGTCCACATAGCCCATTCCCTTTCATTCATACTATTTATGAGACTGGGTTGCAGCCTTTGCCAACCACCTGTTAGTGACATTTCTTCAAAACTTTAAAGTCTCAGATTCCCTCCATGCACCGGGGAGATGGCACTTTTCACTCATCACGCACTGACAGCCCACCTTACCATCAACACAGCATTTACTGGGCTCTAGGAGCTGTGTGGAAGACTACCAGCTATAGAAAAAGAAAATTTAAAAAATCCTGCTCTCAAGGAATTCAGTCTTGGTGGAAGGAACTGATAAGTTAACAATTATAAAACACCATGACAGCTGCAATAACCAATTCTGGAACTGGTGCTATGAAAAGGTGGGAAGGAAGACCTACAACCAGGATTTAATAGTATACGATAGCCAAGTGTCACACAGAGGATAATGACTGAGCGAAGTCTTGAAAGACAAGAAGCTTTTAACAGATGACGGTTGTATACTAGGGACTTGTGGTTCGTCGTCAGAAACAGTGACTGAGTGGTGACTGCCAGGAGGCAGGAGCTGCTATGAAACACAGGTCTTACCCTTCTACAGCTTAACAGATGAGGGGGATACTGACAATACTCAAATACAGAGCTGCCAATTATCATGAGGGCAAAAGAAACAGTCCTGAGATACAGAATTATGTGGAGAACCTATTGTCATGTGGTTGCAGAGGAAGACAAGTGACCTTCAGCTGAGGGCCGAAATCTGAGAAGTGACCAATCAATCCTGTGAAGAGCATTCCAGGCAAAGGAAACAACACACTTGAGGCCTGAATGTGGTTTTCCACTAAGCCAATGGCCAGAACACAAAGAGTAGAGTGAAGAAAGGTTCAAGAGGACATTAGAAAGAGAAACAGGCAGATCACGAGAGGCTTCTCGGCAAAGAAACTTGCGATTTATTCTCAAGGCAATGGGAAGCCACTGGAGAATTATAAAACTAGAGTGACATGACTATTTCTTCTTAAATCCTGAGCAGCTGTACGAAGAAAAATTGCGGGAGGTGGAGAGATAAGAGAAAAGCAGGGAGACCACTTGGGAGACTCATGCAGGGTTAGTGATACAGACTTGGAAAGAAGCAAATAGGTGAGATACATTTTGAGGTGGGAATCAAACAGACTATGGAGTAAAAGGGAGAAAGAAGGACAGCTCCCCAGATTTCTGTCTGAGCAACTAGGTGGTGGTGACTTTTACTGAGACAGAAAAGACTCAAGGACAGGAAGGCTGATGAAGGAATTAAGGAGTTCTGCGGAGGACACAAGTTAAGTCTGAGAGGACTATGAAACATCCAAGTGGAAAAGTCAAGCTGGATGAGAGCCTGGAGCTCGGAGGATCAGGCTGGGCTAAAGATATAAATCTGGCATTCATTAGCATCTAGATGATATTTAAAGCCACAGGAGTAGATGAGCTCACTCAGCGAGAGTAAAGAGAAGAGGATCTATGTTTTATTAGAAGAATTTTCAGATATACTACCCTATAGGCAATGGGACACATCTGGAAAATTTTGGACATGATTTTCATTCTGAAAATAATGTCCTGGGGGAGTAGAAGAATAAGAGCCCGAATTAAAGAAGGGAATTATCCAAGCAAAATTAAGAAAAAAGCATCGGTTTCTTGACTTCCTTGATAGAGGGAATGTAGATAACACAGTAGTCTAAGTAGATTGCCCATTTCTGGCCTGAGAAGGTTAAATAGCTACAGCACAATTATGAGACCAAAACAAAAGACAAATAAACTTCAGGGTAGAGGGTGAGATGGTAGATGATGGTTTAAGGTGAAAGTTGAAGCAATGGGCTTGAATGAATCATCCAGAAAAGGCAGAGTGAGAAAGACAAAAGTTAGAACCCTGGAGTACAGGGTTTAATTGATGATATTCATCAATTAAAATAGGGGTAAATAAAGTAAAGCCCATAAACACAATGGAACTAAGAGAAAATGCAGGATTATTAAGTAAGTTAAGAAAAAAGCAAAAATGTAGAAACTACGGATGGTCACTCAGGTCAAATATCAAAGAGAGATAGAGCAAGATAGAGATAGACATGAATTCTTTGTATTTGTCAATCAGGAATTACTGGTGACCTTACAATCTGTTGGGAGAAGCAAAGCTGAGGACCGAATGAGCGGAGAGACAATACACACACTATAAAAGATGAATGAAGAAGGCAACACAGGGTCAAAGAAAAATTTCCAAATGGGAGAAATGTATGAATAGGATTCCACATTGAAATTAAAAAAAAAAAGGTGGGGGGCAGAAGAATAAACTGAGGACTAAAAGAATGAAAATTCAGGACTAGCCTGGGATGTGGATGATACTTTTGGAACCAGAGGGTACAAAGAAAGAATAAGTATAAAAGCTAAGTTTGCATGTGTGGGGCAAACAGATCTGAGCAGTTATTCATGAAAATTGTACTTTCTCTATAATGACACAAGTATGATCATCTGTTGAAGGAGGAAGTGACCATCTTAGTGGAAAGCTCATTAAAACAGTCAAGGGATGACACTACAATGACCCTGAGAAGGGGCTGGTGCTAAAACACAGAAATTATCTGTACTAAGACTTTAAAGCAAAACTGGAAAAGATTAATCCAGTCTCCAAAGTACTTTACAAATGAGCTTTCTATTAGAGCCTATTAATAAATCACTTAGTCCTTTGAAGCATAGGAGCAATGTTTTCAAAATTGAATTAGCAAATCTCCAAGTCTCTAAGGATCCATGGTGTTGAGATCAACTCAGAAGTTTGATATAGCACCATATTCCAAGGATGAGGACTTTATTTCTAAGGCATTTTGTTGACTCTATTTAAATTTCAAGGGTCAATTTGAGTCCAGTCATACTTATAAATGAACTGTTTTATAAGTTGAAGGATTTCTAACAGGAAGAGCACATGATTTAGAGACAGAGGACTCCCTAATTGTTAACTACTACTGTGGGCAAATCACCTAACCCCTCTCATCTCTATTTCCTCATCTGTAGATAGAAAAACACACTATTTCCTGAATCCTATGATGCACAGCCTCACATACCAGAAATCAGGATGCATCCTATTACCAATGTACAGATTTCTCACAGTAAGGCTCCTCTCTGCTCCCATCTATGCTATTTTTGAATCTACAGTACATCTTACAATCAACAAGGCCTCTGAGCCAAGGGAATAATGCGAATATTTCTCTGACACACCTGATGGTGTTGCTAGATAGGGCCAATGATATTGTCTAAGTAAGGTACAAACTAATTTTAATATAACACCAGTCTGATACCTTAAAATACAGGATGCAAAACACAATACATGTAACTTTCTAAAATGCTTTAAAAATAAGTAAATAAGGATGTAAACCAAAGTCTAAGTGGTAGAAAAGATGTTTTCTACTTTTCTCATTTTACAATGAATGTCAGGGGAGAAATCTCTATATTAATAAAAGCAGAAATATAAATTACTTATGAAAAAGTTTTAGGTCTAATTCTAGGATTATTAATTAAAACCTATCAGGAAACAATAACATGAATAAATTAAAATATAGTACAATAATAAACACAAACCTTATTTTAGTATATTTGGCAACTAAAATCTTGTCACACAATCTATCTCTATACTTACCAAAGTGCCACTATAAGAAAACTAACTTTATACCTCTCTTATTTTCCATAACATACAATGTACTAAAAATCTGTAAGAACCAAAATAAAGGGCATATATAGACTATAAACTATCAAATTTGTTTACTATGAGCATAAAAACTTGTAATTTCTTAAAACATGAACATCAAATCCCGAGGACTGTTACCATGTACCAACATCTGAATCACTGTTCTATAATATAAGATTAATAGAATACATTATTTTAAATTGTACAGAAATAATTTTAAATTTCTTTTAAAAGTAAAATGATGCTTACTCTTTATATATGTGTCTCTATCTACTATTTCTTTTATTTTCATGTTTCATTAAATATCAATAAAGAATAGAGACCCCATCTACAATTATGGGCTTCCCGGGGGCTCAGTAGTAAAGAATCCACGTGCCAATGCAGGAGACTCAAGAGACAGGGGTTCGATCCCTAGGATGGGAAGATCCCCTGGAGTAGGAAATTGTAATCCACTCCATTCTTGCCTGGAGAATCCCATGAACAGAGGGGCCTGGAGGGCTGCAGTCCACGGGGTCACAAGGAGTCAGACATGACTGAGCGACTGAGCACACATGCACGCAAGCACTACAGTTACGCGCTACTGTAAATAAGAATCACAGTGCAGGGGGGGGGAGCAGTCAGCCACTCTTAGAAATGGTTCTTCTTGTGCCTTGCTCAATGAGAGAAGCATGAGCCTTCTGAGCAGGCACACAGCACTCAGGTCTTCACTAAATTTATTGAAAATCACCTGTATTTTTCTGTCCCAATTTCCAAGAATGTGACAAGATGCCAAGAAGAAAAACTGCCTAAATACAGAGAAGCTGAAATATTTAAAGGCCTATAATTTTTTCTGAATCTACAAATTCAGTAATAGATATCATTACAAAGCAAAGGTTTAATTACTGGAGTTTACTAAATGAAATGAAAATCACAGGAATAGAAACTAGGTATTTCTGTGAATAGCTAAGTAAATAACTCTTTGCTTTTGATTATTTCTCTATATCTTCCCTAATTTTCTTTTAAAACTCATTAAACACAGATTAAAGCAGATATTACTATAATCTCTGGAAGACTAAAACCTACATATCTGAAAAACAAAATTTTACTGGTCCATAGATCTCTAAGATTACCCATACTCAAGTAGTAACTATGTTAACACATTAAAAGAAATTTAAAATTCATACTGGTGACAATACATCTATTCGCATATTAAGGCACAGTCTAGTACATTTGTATTATTTTCTTATATCATGCTGTAACTAGACTGCTGTCTCCCTATCTTTAACAACAAACATAATTAAAGAAAGTGCATCATGAGACCTCCTGGGACTTTTGCTCATGCCCACAGCAGTATCCTGACTTAAAAAACTACAGGAGAGAAGTAAGAAGAAGCCTTCCACGAACTTCCACGTGAGGCTCAACATCTTTTACTACACATAAATCCTTTCTCCCATAGCTCTCACTGCTTACTGCTTTCACAGTTCTTAGCAGAGGACATCAAAAAAATCTTTGTTCCCATTTATCACCCCACACTAGACCGTAAAGCTGCTGGAGTCCAAAAACACTGTCAACCTGCTAATTTTTGCAATCCCATGACCTACCATAATCCCTGGCTCACTGATAATGCTAGTTGGATTATAATTCTCAGTTATTCTAGGCTACCCACTCATGAGAAGTAGAAAGGAATTGCCTGAAAAAACTCAAGGCAGACCTTGAGAATACTGGGTACCTTTTCTTATCAACAGGCAACATACTGTCAGCACCCCTGAAAGAAGTAATAGGCAAGACTTTCCTTCTAGAGTATTTCCAAGCAATTTTATCTCTATATTCCCAAATCTGTTCAGCTTTTGTAGGAGATATACATATTTTTTAAATGATTAAATCTAATTGCAACCATGTTGCATTAAGTTGTCAAAGGAATGAACATGTTTAGAAAATTTCAACTCTTCAGGAGCAAGCCTGGCATCTAGGCCCTGAAGACTCTCCTTCTGTTTTCCTGTGTGTTAAGTTGAAGGAAGAAACGAACTAATAGCCCAACTTTGCCTCACAAAAGCAGAAGAGACCATAGAAGAATGTGCTTTGTCTTCTTCAAGAAAAAGAAATATGAAAAATTCAGTAGTATTCCTGAAAAATGTGTTATTCTGGGTTGATTAGAAATTTGCAAATAAGGTTAATTTATAGATAAATATAATCTTTTCAAGGAATCCTCTTTCATGGAGGCCTCTCTCTGTAGTTTCTGGTTATAAAATATGTGTTTAAAAATCAGTTCATTTGAACTTACACTGATTGGGGGTTTTAAAAGTTATAAACTACATTTACCCTACCAACAAGATAACTGGAGGGTAGGACAGTGGGTATTACTAATTCAGTAAAACAATGTGGTATAGTGCCAAGAGGCTGGGCTAGGATTTAGAACTAAGTCTCCTACAGTTCTCTAGATCTCAATAATCTCACCTGTAAATGAGCCTATTTCATTGTGCTGGTATAAACTTAAAAATGGCTGGAAGCAAAAAAGGAAGCATTAGTCACTCAGTCATGTCTGACTCTTTGTGACCCCATGGACTGTAGCCCACCAGGCTCCTCTGTCCATGGAATTCTCCAGACAAGAATTCTGGAGTGGGTTGCCATTTCCTTCTCCAAGGGACCTTCACAACCCAGGGATTGCACACCAGTCTCCAGCATTGCAGGCAGATTCTTTACAGTCTGAGCCACCAGGGAACAACCCCACCTCCCACCAAGAAAAAACAGGTTAAGAGATGAAAAATAATTTTTAAAAATTAAATGAAAGTGTACTTATTAGACTATTCTTCAAAATAAGAAAATCAGTAACATTCTGTACAAAAGTAAATATGCTGATACTATTTTTTTAATTGAAGTATAGTTGATTTACAATGTTGTGTTAGTTTCAGGTGTGCAGTCAAGTGATTCACTTATTTATATATGTGTGTGTGTGTGTGTGTACATATTCTTACATACAAATATATATATTCTTTTTCAGATTATTTTCCATTATATGTTATTACAAGATACTGAATATAGTTTCCTGTCCCATACAGTAGGTCATTCTGACACCATTTTTATTTCAGATAGGTTGTAAAATAATTTATAATAGAATTCAAAATTTTTACTATGTTTGTATTAAATCTTCACTCTAAGTTTGTATTAAAACCCTAAAGTAAAATCCTTTACCTTTTCTAAGTCTTCGATTTCAGAACTGAAGTTTTTACCCTCATCCATCATTTCCTCTTCTTCAAGAGTTCTTTCATCATCATAGTCATGGACCAACATCTCAGCAGTGGGGTCAAAATCATGATCCTCAGAAGACAAAGACCCAACTAGAGAGAAACACGCTCAATCACTTTACAAGTTCATGAGGCTATTTACAAAGGAAAATAATCTGTGTTCTACTGCCAGCTCCTTTTAACGTTTATATGTGAGCTTCATTAAATGCATTTATTATGTCCTTCACAAGCTATACAGTTAAGACCATACAGTTTCTGAAAAGATATTTAAATCAGCAAAAGAAAAAAGCCAGTTTATAACCATTTTTATAAGGTGTCCCATCCATGAGAACATGACTTCTAATAGCAACAAAGTGATTTAAATGGAGTGGTCTTTAAAAAAAATGTTCTAATAGAAAAGTCGCTTATCAGTTAGTTTAAGATGTTCCTCTAAAAGCAGTAGAAAAATGTCAAACGGGTTATGAACAGAAGACTTCACAAGAATCTTCTATACACTGAGGCTAAAAACTTCAGGAGAAGGGAATATTAATTTTACTCAATTCTCACTCTCAAATAAAAGTTCAAATCACAACAGAAACCTGGTTTTTTAGAACAAACACAAGTTTCCGTGAGGCAGCTACACAGCAATTCAGTCTTCAAAAGCACCACATCACTTTTCATGTCTATAACAGTATTTCAAGCTCCCCAAAACTAAACCGTAAGATTATGTGAAGGGAATACAGAAAATCATATCTATGAGCTTTAGAAGATATATCCCATTGCAAGCTGTTTTGGTCAACTCAAACTTGTTTATAAGATGGTAGTGCCGGGAAATTCCCTAGAGGTCCAGCAGTTAGGACTTCCACAGCCAGGGGCATAGGTTCGATCCCTGACAGGAACTAAGATCCTGAAAGCCTTGAGATGTGGCCAAAAAAGATGGCAATGAATGATTTTTAATGGCAAATCTGAAGTCAACAGGATACCCTGAAAACCAAGTGGAGAAATGAATACTATCTATAATCGCAAGAGAATAAGGTCAAATTTAAGAAAAACAGAGTTTTCTCCACTTGTTTTACTCTAACATGTAATTCAACTGGACCGATGACTCTCAGAGGGGGAAGACAAGAAGTAGAATATTAAGAGTGGAGAAAGGGAGAACTGGAAGGAAGCACATTCAACACAAAAAAGTCTGATGTGTTCTTACTTAAGCTTTAATATTTTAAAACTTTAAACACTGAAGGACATTGAGATCATTACCAAAACACTGAATCAGACCAAAGATTTTTCCAAATCACAGACAATTCAGTGTTTTTGGCTCTGAGTTCAGAGGACTCTAATCATTAGTCCTGAAAATAATAAAATTTCTACAAAATGTTTTTAGGAGCTGTGCATTATGACGTTATTTTTCACATGCTGAAAGATTTTAACCTGCTGATTTTAAAAAATCTGTTGACGTATAGGTGGTTCAACAATTTTAGTGAAAGATGAATACCTGTTAAACAGTAGAAAAGCAGAACAGCAACCATTACGAATTTTCTTTTTTGGAGAAATTCCCAGATACCTTTGGGGTATGTCAAAGTGTAAGGTAGAAAATGTGAAGTGAAGTCAGTCAGTCGTGTCCGACTCTTTGAGACCCCCTGGACTGTAGCCCACCAGGCTCCTCTGTCCATGGGATTTTCTGGGCAAGGGTACTGGAGTGGGGTGCCATTTCCTTCTTTTCTACCTCTTTGATGGCTGAGCTCTACCCTCTTCCTAATCTACATCGCTTGGCTCACTTCAAGGCTTCCCCTTGAGGAAAGCATTCATTCAATAAGGGCCAGAAATGGAAGGGCCTGAGAGTCTACTCTTGGCTCTGTCCCTGGTTTTCTGGGACCTGAGGTAAGTCATTTAAACTTTCTGGGCCTGGGTCCAGTTTTTCATTTGCAAAATATATAGGGTTGGCTTAGATGACCTCTAGTCTCTTCTGGTTCTAAAATTCTCTTAAAAATTGGCTAACTGATTAAAAATAAGTTATAAGTTTGTTTAAACTCCAAAATCACACTCTCTTGCTTTTTATTTAGATTGCAACTTCTTAAAAGCAGACAGTGATGCAAAATGGAAAACTTCCATTATCATCCAGATGTTTGGCATCTTGTACATAAATATTCTTTCCCTGAAATCAGTTCTAACAAAGAAACGTTTGTCTCAAAATCAAAGAAACTTAGAAGTAATTTAAAAGTAAAGACTAGTTTCAAAAGCTATGTTCAAAATAGCCTCAAATTTCTTCTATTTGGTGTTAATTATTTTATAATACCTTAAATGATAATCAAATGAGACCCTGAAGGTTGACTAAATACACAAAGTAATATGCAAGGAAAATGGTCTGTTCACTGTAAGGCAACATGTGGTTAACTGAAGACTTGGGAGCCCATCCAGACTCTATTAACTAGGTAACTCTCAGCAGAGTTATTTAAAAGTCTCCTCCAGTGTAAAATAAAGGAGTTGAACTAGTTGAGAGGCGCTTTTCTTGGAGACTATGAGGGAAAAGAGGCGGCCAAAATGGGGCTGGAAAGGGGATGAGAAACAGAAACAAAGCTGTCCTTCCATTTCAGCACATGAGGAAGGGTCTTTACCATGGGACAGGTTTCAGGGGTTCCACCCCCAAATTATATGCTATTACCCATTATGTGCAGACTTCTGCAAACAGAGTCCCTTGCTTTCATCAGATCATGACAAGGGCTTCTGACACCAAAACGGTTGAGAAACACAGTCCTAGATGGTCTAATGTTGTCTCACTTCAAAAATTCTGTATGACCAACCTCAGAAAGTATGTGTTTCTTTTAATTAGGCCAGCTTTACCTAACTCTCAGTTTTCAAAATTTAACACAATCTACAGGCATTTCTCAATTTTGAAAAATGTATGAGACAAAGTAAGGGGAGATGGGGAGAAGTGAATATCAATATGAGCAACCCCCAAATCCTGACAAATTAGAGAGGCGAATCGTCAAAGAAATTAAAATCTGAACTGCTTAAGTCGGAGGAAAGTTTGGGATAGATGTGGGATTAACCGTTTCAGGCTTGGAGAAAAATAAAAAACAGTGTATGTGAGAATTAGATACATTACTTTAAAAGAACATGTCAGTTAGCAGCTTTGTAACAAAGTATTTTTTTCAACATGCAAGGAAAAAGAGAGAGAATATATGAGATAGAACAGTTGTTCCTTCCTCAAACAACTTAATTACCAAAAAGAACACTGAAACCTCTTAAAAACAAATGATGAAAAACTCGCAAAACAAATTTTTGTTGGAGGAACTGAGCAATAGATCTTTGGGCCCCCATCACCACCCCCTGGGGCCCACTGAAAAGGTAAGAGAACAGAACAAACCTGGGCTCGAACTTCCAAAAGAAGCCTAGGAGAGAAAAGAAGACGTGCGGTTAGATCGCGAAGCCAAGGGAAGAGGCAGCGCCGGCAACAGGGCGCAGAGGAGGCGGAGCCCAGCGCTCCTCCGCAGCTGCCAAAAGTGCAAGACGTAGCTTCGCTCCACTCGCTCCTGGCCCCCTTCGGGCCCCTCTTGGCTGCCTCGCCTTCCTCCCCGAGTCCCCAGTGTACAAACTCGCAGACCCGGGACGAAGCCCGGTGTCTAACAGGCAACTCCAAGCCGCCCCTTGGAGCTCAGCAAGTTACAGAGAGGCAGAACTCAGAACAGTCGGCTCGCAGCATCAGTCCCCCATACCCTAGCATTTCAGTAGTCCCCCGAATCCCACCGGCTCTCCAAGCCCCAAGCAACACCTCGCAAGGCAACACCCTTTCCTGGAAGGGGCTCGCCCTCTGCATCGAGTCCACCCCCTTGGGGCCCGGTAGCCCCAACTCCGGGGCTGTCCTCTGTCCCCGAGCGTAGGCCAGCTCGAAACCGGACACTCGCCCCCAAACCAAAAGCGCAAGCCCCCCATCCTCTCTCCCGCGTCTAGAGATGCGGATCCGCAGTCCCAGAGACAGTGGTATCCTCCCGGAGTATTTAGTCGCCCCCCGAGCCCAACAGCGAGCTCCTCGACCCAAGGGGCTCCTGCCAAGGGGCTTCTGCTACGCCACCCCCCCCCATCCTCCCGCCCCAGCTCACTAGTCCCGGGGGACACGTCCAGGGCAGCTCCGCTCGCCCTGCCGACCCCCTTAATCGGAAGAAAAGTGGGGCTACCGACAGCCCGTGGAGAGAGCGTCGAGGGTCTTGGTTCTCCCCGTTTACCCCCAGGGGCTCCCGCACCTCCAGGGCTGCGGGGCGGGGAATCTTGCCTCTGCCGAAGCCCAGCGGCCGCGCATCCCGCTCGCCTCCGCGCCGGAGCAAAGTGGAGCGTGAGACTCCTTCGGCCCGCAGCCCGGACCCAAAGGGCCGGGGGCACAAAACACTCCTCCCGCAGGGCAGTGGCGCAGCCCGCTCCCCGCTTTGCGATCCGGCCGCGGAGGTGGGGGCTCGGCCGGTTTCCACCCACCCCGGCCCCGGGAGGCGGCGCGGAGGCTCCAGCGGCCCGCGCAAGCTGCTCGGCGGCACGGCACGGCGGCGTCCCCCAACCGGGGCTCGCTGCCGCCGGCGACCGCCGGCCGTCGCCTCCCGTCCGGCCCCGTCGCCCGGCTGGGTCGGGGCCGGAGCCGCCGCGGCCTAGTCCCGGAGGGAGACCGCTCCCGCGCCCGCTCCCGCCCCCCGGCCGGCCCCGCCGCCGCCCGTCGCCGCCTTGCGGCCCCACACCGCCACGCCGCCCCCCGCAGGGCCCCGGGAAAGGCCTCGGATCCCCGAAGCCGGCTTGGAGACCGCAGGAGACCGCCGGGCGCCCGCTCCAGCCCGGCCGCTCCTGCCCGGTTTCCCTGCTCACCTCCGCCATATTGGTACCTTTAGGGCGAACGAGCAGCGCCGAGCCCAGTCCCCGGATGGGGCGCCTGAGCCAATCGCAGCAGCCGCCGCCGCCGCCGCCGCCGCGGTCCGCCCGGCACCCGCCCGGCGGCGGAGGCGGCTCGGCCCCTTATAGGGCAGGGCGGCCCGCGACACCCCCGGCCCGCTCGCAAGCCCACCCCGCCCAGCCCCCCTTGCCGCGCCCCGCGCCCCGCGCCCCGCGCCCGCTGCGGGCGCCTCGACCCGCACCAGCGC